CAGCCATTTCACAAAGAAAATAACATTGATTGCCATTAAAATGAAAGTGTTTTACCTAAACATGGGAGCGTGATACAAATGCTCATTTTACATCTCTACTTTTCATATGCTTTCAACATACACAAATACTAATGGCAAAATTTGATAAATTAGCCCTGTGCATTATAGGGAATAATATTCTGAATATTTTACAGTTGGTTTGATACCTTTATCTCAAACGGTGTCAGAGTTTAATTAATTTAATTGGGTACAGTATATAAAACATATGAAAAACATGGTTTCAGTGCTATATATAAAAACAGTAAAGGTATAATCTGAAAAAACAAGCATTGTGCATTATAGGGAATAATATTCTGAATATTTTACAGTTGGTTTGATACCTTTATCTCAAACGGTGTCAGAGTTTAATTAATTTAAGTGGGTACAGTATATAAAACATGACAAATATGGTTTCAGTACTGTATATAAAAACAATAAAGGCATAATCTGAAAAAAAAAACAAGCCTTGTGCATTAAATTTAATAATATTTAGATTTTTTATAGTTGTTTTGATACCTTTATCTCAAACTGTGTCAGAGTTTAATTAATTTAAGTGGATACAGTATATAAAACATATGAAAAAAATTGGGTTTCAGTACTTTTAACTGCCCTACACCAGGTTTTTTCCCCCCGGTGTGTCTATTTACACTAAGTGCAAATAGCCGCCTTCTTGGCAGAGGCTATTTACACTTACTCCACCCACAAGCGTGTGATGGGGAAAGTCAACACTAAGACGGTGTTCTGAAGAGTTGTGCTACCCGCTCAGATTGTGCTACCTCCCATTAAAAAGATAGGTAGCACAAATCGGTAGAGAAAATGCTACCTATCAGATTGTGCTATAGCATCTTATTCATGTGGTTTGAGGCTTTTTTTGAATGTCCATACCTACCCCTACCCTAAACCTACCCGTCCATACCTACCCTTACCCTAAACTTACCCTTAAAACAATGCAAATATACTTTTGGTAGCACAATCTGATAGGTAGCATGTTTCGTCGGTACACGACGAGATGGTACAGTGCGAACCATAGGGTTTTTTTGACGCAATCGACTCGAGTTCGAATCCACCTTTTGCCAAACTTTTTCCCCTCCCTTTTCAAATCTCATATCACATCGGCAAGGCATTTATTTTCAATAAAAAGGAAGGAAATAATCAAAAAGTTGAAAATAAAGTATCGGGTAGGGTTAGGGTAGGTGTAGGGAGGTCTTTATTGTCCCAAAAAATTCAAATTATAATTTAGGGTTAGGCTTTTAGACTTTTTTCATGCTTTTTTGTTCAGTGGCCATCACAGCAGCTTCTGCGAGTTGGTCAGTGTATTTCCGTTTGACTCTTCTTGCTGAAGATCTTATATATTTCTCTGTATTGTGCCACAATTATTACTTTCAACCTTGTTGGTTTAGAATGTCCATGTTCTTTCTGAACTGCTTTTTTCTTCTTTTCTAACATGGCTTCTCTCATTGCTTGAAAAGTATCGATGGTGTCGTCTTGTCTTCAAGTGTGGCAAACCAGTTCCTCAGAATGATACCAAACTCATTCTTTATGAGGAGATCTTTAAGGCTTGATATATTAAAGCGTTTACACCTCTTCTCTCCAGTTTTCCATTTCCTCAGCTTGCAGAATTAGCTTCGCCATAAGGAGGTTGTGGTAACTGTCAATGCATGCCGGTTAGAAATGTATCCACGTGTGGTCCAACTTGCTCTATCATGCTAGTGTAACAAGTTTCATCACAGCTGTCAGTGTAGGGAAATTTTGCAACATGCTGCAACCATCCCCACATGCTGTCCCTTATCACAACATTAATGTAAAAGCTTGCCATAGCATAACAAAATTGTAATTTTATGGTCGGATTAATAAAGAACCCCTTTGAGTTCCTTTTTTTTACTAGTCTTTATACAGCCAGTTTAACTTATGGAAGACACTGTCTGTGCACACATAAAACAAAGAAATGTCAAACTGATATTTAAGAATAATTTTATTACATTTTAATGAATGTGCAACTGCCTCTGCCCCAAAACTGTGGACTGTTGCAACCATCATCTGTTATGGGGTCAGTTGCAACATTTGACTACATTTGTCTATTCAAATATAAATTATTATTAGCCTATATGTGCATACAGTGAGTGGATAACTGACAGATGTGGCTCTAATGTATTCAAATTTTGGCTTTCCAATACAAACAAGCTGTGTCCCAAACAGAAGTGCGTGGACTAAGGAGTGCGCAATTGAAGTGCGATTGCGTCACAGCGTCACGACGTAAGCTCTCCCAATTCAGAATGCACCCTCCATTTTCTCTTGTTTTAGGACTATTTTGGAGAAAATGAGTCTGCTGGGGAAAGACTTAAAAAATACAAAGTAAGCACGTTAATAGACACATTTTTGTTCTCATCTCGTGCAGCAGAAGTGGTTCAGTCACAATGCTGCGTTAATAAATGCATGAGAGGATAATATATGAGCTGTAAGTCTCCCGACATGTTGCAAGCTTAATTTAACATCACAATGGACAAATGTATGGAATACTCAGAGTCAGATATGCAAATTATTATATTTTTATGTCACTACAGGGAAATAACCTGATTTATTAATGAAGTCATGTAAACGCACCTTGCTTGTGTTGTCAGGTTACTGATGTGCATGTAAACTGGTTATTTTAATAAGCTGATATTTGTGAGTTATCAGCTTACTGGTGTGCATGTAAACATGCTCACTAACTGTGTCCCAAACTGAAGTGTGTGAACTCCGAAGTGCGTATTTGAAGTGCGATTGCATCACAGCATAAGCTGTCCCAATTCAGGATGCACCCTCCGAAGACCGCATTCCAAGGCCGATTGCGTCAACGAAGGCTGCCGTAATTCAAAAACGACTTCAAACTCGCACCCTACCCTATCCCAGAATCAATTGCGCGCAGATGAGGATGGGATTTATATTCAAAGAACATGGCGGATGACAGTTCTGTGGGGGAATTCACATTGAAATGTAAGTATTGTGTTAAAAGCCAGGTTTTTATTATTATTTTTTTTAATCAAAGCCCACAAACAATAATACAACCACTATATAAGGCATTAGTCTTTCCCTTTGTTGTGTTTTTGTAGTGCGGTCATGCAAGATAAGTCTACAAATGTTTTAACCAAACTTTATCACTTCAGTATTTTGTATGCATGTCCTGCTGTGTCATATTTTCTAATGTTAAGATTGCAAACCTGTCTTTCTATTTTTCATAAGTGTTTCCATTTTCTCTTGTTTTAGTACTATTCTGGAGAAAATGAACCTGCTGGGGAAAGACTTAAAACATACAAAGTAAGCAAGTTAATAGACACATTTTTGCTGAAATTCATTGTGCTGTTGTTGTTAACAGGCATGGTTTATTTCCTCTGCCTTAGGATTGCAAGTGTCCTGGGACAGGTGAGGGAATGAGTGGTGAGCTGGTGGAGCTACTCAGGGAGGACATCAAACTCATGAGAGCGACAGAGGACAGAAGAGCACAGGAGAGCAGGGAGAGAATGGAGAGAATGCTTAACAAATACAGTGGGAAAAAATGGGTACATTACAATTTTTCCAATATTTTTTTTTTTTAAATGTCGCATTGTCAATGACACAACCTAATTTCTGTAGTTTATTTTTGTGATGTAAGTTCAAAATGAAATGAATAAGTTGTATACATTATTCATTTTTTTAGTGTAATTTATTTGTAAATGAGCCTGAGTACTTTCTGTAAATTTTGTATTTTTGTTTTGCATATTCACATGTGTAAATAAAAGAGAATTATGTTACACATTTAAACAAATTGTTCTATACATTACTGAACATACTTTTTACAACTATTTACAACATACAACATACTATTTACAACATAGCTTAGGTTGAACATCAGAAAAAAACATACATTTTGAGCCCAGCCCTGCCTCCATGTGTTCTGGGGTCTTCAAGAGGTGAATCTCTTGGTGAATGGCCAGCACCTCCTCAGCAACTCGGAGGACAATGCTATTCGTCACATACTGCCGTTTGGTCATTTCCCCCTCACGTCCATAAGCCGACGTTGAGGGTACCCCCTATTCGTCGCTTGACAACGTAGAGGGAGTTTGGCTGGACGGCCAGCTCTAGGAAGGGTTCTGGTCGTCCCAAACGTCTTCCATTTAAGGATTATGGAGGCCACTGTGCTCTTAGGAACCTTAAGTGCAGCAGACATTTTTTTTGTACCCTTGCCCAGACCTGTGCCTTGCCAGAATTCTGTCTCTGAGCTCTTCAGGCCGTTCCTTTGACCTCATGATTCTCATTTGCTCTGACATGCACTGTGAGCTGTAAGGTCTTATATCGACAGGTGTGTGGCTTTCCTAATCAAGTCCAATCAGTATAATGAAACACAGCTGGACTCAAATGAAGGAGTAGAACCCTCTCAAGGATGATCAGAAGAAATGGACAGCACCTGCGTTAAATATATGAGTGTCACAGCAAAGGGTCTGAATACTTAGGACCATGTGATATTTCAGTTTTTCTTTTTTAATAAATCTGCAAAAATGTCAACAATTCTGTGTTTTTCTGTCAATATGGGGTGCTGTGTGTACATTAATGAGGAAAAAAACTTAACTTGATTGATTTTAGCAAATGGCTGCAATATTGTTAAGAGTGAAAATTTTAAGGGGGTCTGAATACTTTCCGTACCCACTGTATATATAATATAACAGTTTAAGTCTGGCAAGGCAAAGTTTATACAAGTACCCTGATCATGTTATTCCTGTTTGTTTATCCATTTGAATTAAGGCAGAACCAGGATGTGTTCAAAATATCATGATAGAACCCTTGCTCACACAATGACTTCTTTTTAAAATCATTCATTTTTTTATGATATTGTGATTGCATGAATGAGCAAGAGCAGCATTTACTTAACTTCTTAGCCTAGTAGTTATTCATATTGTAATATGTAGTTTGGCGATCTATTCTTTTTTGATTTGTACTTCTCTTTCTCTGCAGGTTCCTTAATCCCTGTCCTTTTAAAAACACAGCACCTCATTACATCGAAAAAAGGCACTTTTAAGAGCCACATTTGTCTTGTTTATTGTCTTATTTGTATTGTTTATTGTCTTGTTATTTCTCTCTCTCTATCTCTCTCTCTCACTCTCTCTCCCTCTCTCTCTCCCCTACCATCTGAGTGGTGGTTGCTTTTTAGAGGGACGGAGGACCTGGGTAGCTGCCTCTTCTTCACTCACTGTAATCAACTGAAAGTGTAAAGGTCGGGATCAGAGAATATAGATTCATTTGTTGGTGTTGTTTTAAGCGCACAATATACCAATTTAATGGATAGAGACTGGCATATAATACCTGGTTATTGCACCAAATGAAATTAGCAGGAGTCTGCACAATATAGGCCAACCTATAAGATAAGATTGCTGTTGGCATGAAGTCTAAGTAAATCAAACTTAAGTTTTGTGAGGAATGCCAGTATTCAAAGATGGTTTATGACTACAGGAAAGCAAACAGCTCGCTTAGCGACTTTATGTTTCACAGTTTTTCTGCACTTAAATAATTTGCCAGCTTGCAAACATCCAGATCTAGTATTACCTTTGATAATGTTAGAAAAGTGATACGTTAAGCATAGCCCACTGCTGTATGACACATGCTAATAGATTGACTAGCTCTGTCTTTCTTGTACTTATGTGTGTTCGGATCCCTGTATGATATTTAATATTTATATTTTTTGTATGTGTGTACATTTCAGAATGACAAAGCCAAAATTCAGGCCTTGCCCAAGCTGCCAGGTCCGTCAGCAGGCCAACCGCAAAACCTGCAGTGCTTGTTTTGCCACACTGCCAAGCAAGCGGTTATTAAAAACTGCAAAAATTAATGATGACTGGGGCCAGAGGGTCATCAAAAACAAAAATGCATCTCGGGTGGTGGCCTTTGCCCAAATAGCTGTAAGTAAAAATGCTCATGCTTCATTAATTGAGTGGTAATAAATATTAAGCCCAAAGTACATACAGTATGTGGTACCATTTTGTTGATGGACAGAAGACATAGCAGCCATGCTGTGTGCTGTGTACCAGGCTTCACATGCGTGCCTGGATGTTGGAAGTTGGCACATCATGTCAGTATGAAATTTTAGACAGACAATCGCTTTAAAAACCACACCATACGTCCCTATTAAATTGCTTTTGCAGCACACGTGACGCTCAAGTGATAAATGTACATTACATGCAAGTTGCTCTGATAAACAGTTTGCCAAAAAGCTCCCCATACACAATATGTAAAGATACTTTCATTTTATGCAGGTGTACTTCTGTTGTGAAAATAAATCTTGAAAATGCATTGGTGTATGTACATAAGTAGGCAATATTCTAGACTACACTTAAAATACTTGTGTAACTGATGGCAGGGACTAGGGATAGGGATGAACTATGAATCAAGCAGTACCTAGTTTATACACCAAGTAAACTGCCCTCTGTTTCTGATTCAAAGTCAGTGTGGAGTAGACGCCATCTTCATTACTGTCACAACATCTGATTGATTATTTTCAATAAAAATCGAGCACTGACAGTTGCAATTTAAGAAATACTCATGAATTAATATTTCTGTGTATTAATTTTACAATATGTCTTTAATCATCACATACTTAACACTTGTTGAAAGCGTTAACAAATATTTTTTGCCAGATTAGGTCTTTAAATAGTAGATGGACTGCCATATATGTAGTAATGTAGCAACATAATATATTGGAAATGTGTTAATTACTTTGTTTCATTTCAGGTCCAAAAACTTTCTGCCTTGGGCTATATGCCCATATTATTTATCAGCCAGAGGCACAAGGGCACAGGCAAGTTGATGGCAGATGTAGTCACGCATCTGCCACCGACGCAAAACAACACGCGTTTCTTAACCAGCATGAAGAGGGCATATGACTTCATAATCAAACTGGATGGTAAGATAAGTTTTATGTATTGTTCATTAGTGTTTGTCGTTGATTTCTTTGACGATGTGTACTGAATTTATATTTTTGCTAACTTCACAACAGATGTGCCCCAGCCCCAGCAAGACCAGCCCCTCCACCTAGACCAGCCCCAGCAACACCAGCCCCTTCCCCTCCAGCCCCTGCCCCTAGACCAGCCCCAGCAAGACCAGCCCCTGCCCCTAGACGAGCTAATCCCACAAGACCACCCTACCCCAACAGACCAGCAAATTATTACACTTGAACTATTTACGATCGACTCTCAGGCTCAGCAGCCTGTGGAGCCTCTACCACCCAGGAAAAGACAAAGTAAGTAATCTTGCATTGCACCACATCTGTAAATGTGTCCTATGTTTTTTGCAATCAGTGCACAATATAAAACAAGTTACACATTGTGAATTTCACCTCTTTTAATGAATTAAGCCACTCCTCCAAGATACTGAATATACAATTCTCAACCTTTTTCCCTTGCACCTTAAGCCTCACTATCCACCCCGGGCCTACCATCCACCCCAGACCAAGGCAGACGAGCCCCACCATCCATCCAACCTCAACTAAAGAAAAGACAAAGTAAGTAATCTTGCCTTGCACCCCATCTGTAAATTGGTCCCATGGTTTTGTAATCATTTTATTCATATAAAATAAGTTAACCAATGTGAATTTCACCCCCTTCTATTAATTAAGCCACTTCCCCAAGATACTAAATATATCATTCTTAATCTTTTCCCCTTGCACCCTAAGCCACAGGTACAGGAGCCACACAAGCCCCACCCTCTACCCTGGCCAAAAAGAAGAAAACAAAAAGCAAGTAGACATTCTTTGACATACTATTTACAGTGGCAGAGTCTGGGAGGACACCTGGGAGCCGGCCAGCAAATTCGCCTGATGACCAATACTGTTGTACTATGTGTATATCAGCAGCCATGTGTTGGGTGTAAAGGTGGTTTTGCATGTAGCCCCCTTTAATTGGACCAAACTCAGGGTGTATTCACACTTGGTCTCTTTCAGCCCTCAAAGTGAACTAAGAACAGTGACTCATATATGAACACCTCAAGCAAACTCAGACCCATTTGAAGTGAACCAAACTTTTTTTTGCCTTTGTCATTTAAGGTTACAAATGCAGTCGACAGACAATTTATCCATACGATAAAATATTGGAAAGACGGATGAATGGGGTAAGATGTAGAACCATATTTTTCATTAGGCTGTCTGTTTATCTCTTGACTCATGTCTGTCTCATCTTTCAATCCACATGTGACAAAACAGTAACACTGAGCAGTAGTTATCAAACTTTTTCAACTATCAACCCTCTCACAAGTGCTACCCCTTACGAAAAAGAAGTATACTTCAAGTAAATTTTATGAAGTATACTTAAGTAATGTTCAAGTATATTTTTAAGTATACTTTATGTAGTAAGTATACTAATATCAATGTGTACTTGTAGTAGACTTGTAAGTGTACTATTTCAATACTGCTTGGGACTAAATTGGCCCACTTTTAGTATAAAAAAGTATACGTTTAAGTGTACTAAAAGTGTAAACTTTAAGTACACAACTAGGTTTCTCATTTTTAATACATCTTTACTACAAGTGAACTTATAAGTATACTAGTAGTTTACTATTTCAATACAAGTAGTAAATTTTTTAGTTTATGAAAGTACACACTGAAGTGTACTCTCAGTAAACTAGTTTAGAAGTTTATACTGCAAGTATACTTGTAAGTTTTCTTTAAGTAAACATAACATTATACTATTTATATATTATTTTGCACTTGCAGTATACTACTATGCTCAAATGTAGATATTATTTTTCATACTTTTAAATACATTTAACTGTACTTTAATTTTAAAAACATTTTATTAGCTTCATGCTTTCTTTTTTTATCAACACTTGAATGTCGGTAAGTTTCATAAAGGCAACATTTTAAACAAAGAAGTTGAGAAAATCACATTTTTGTCAAAGACTGCGCCTTGATCAGATTCAGAACGATGGTCAAAACACAGATGGAGTAGATCAAGTCCAACAACCCCAAAGCTTCACAGTCGTTTTTTCTTCATGTGTTACACTTCATTTCATTTGGTAATATTAAGCAGTTTTGATTTACAAGCTGTTTCATATTTGATGATCATGTTATTTTACATTTGCGTGAGTAATCTACTATAACTTGGTTCAGCTTCTTCTTCTGTGTTTTGATCCGGAGTTTTTGTACTAGAAGATGTGTCATAGCGCATCCTACCGTATAACAGTGAAAACATGGATAGCTGGAAAATTCAGTCAATGGTGGGGAAAGAGTAAAGTAGAATTAAAGTAAATTCCGATGTACCGATGCCAGTGGACTAGCCTACACAAAATTTCAGATATGCAGAATTAGAAACATATCTGTTTTATATAAATATTCTAAACAATATTTTCACAAGTTTCATAAGACTGTATATGAAAGCTATGTAAAAAAAAGTTTATTTAATAGGCTACTCGATCAAAACCGTTAACAAAACTAAAAGCTAAGTATACTTTGAATACTTAATTATACTTTTAAGTATATCTCGATCAAAAGATAGCGTACAAGTAAAGGCCAAATATAATTGGACTTTTCTCTCAGTATAAGTCAAGTACACTTAAGTGTAATTAATTGTATTTCTACGAAGTACATAAAGTATATTTTTGAGAATTATAAAATTTAGACTAAAAGTATACTTTCTTATTGTTTGTTTAAAATAAGTATACTAATAGAAAACTTGAATTAACTTCTTTTTTGTAAGGGACATACTGTAAATCCTAAACAAAAACAACAATGCAAATGGAATGCGACAACAGATTCTTATTTTTTATTGCGCTTACAAAAAATACATAAGTACATTTGTCAACTAAATGATGTTCCAAGTAAGAACGCCAGTATAGAGAGCTAAGTAAAAACATCATTATTTAAATGGTAAAATCATTACAGTAACTTCACTAAACTGATTAA